ACGAGTCGATTAGCAGTGTCAAGTTGGATAAACGACCGACGTTGAGAAGTAGAAACGATCCGGAGTTGTGCCTCCTTCGAGAATTTAAAGAATGTATCGATGAGCGGTTTCTTCCACGACGTGTCGACTAATGCCCAAAATGTCGCGTTGCTCTGGATCAGAGTCCTCCATCGTCGACAAACCCAGGAAAGTTCCATGTGTCTAATAGATGGCGCTTGATATAACTTCAGTCCAGGTTGGCAATAATCCGTAACGAATAAGAAGATCATCGACAGTAACTCGTCTGGAAGCTGGTTTATCCACACCAATTGATTGCGGCGCGTCCTGACGGCGGAGAGGCTTTTCGCCAGAGTCGCGTTGATTTTGATCGTCAATGCATCCAGAAGTGCCTTTTCTTCGTTCGAATCTCCAGCAGATTTCCTGTGAAGGTATATGAGATCATTAAATTACACTTCTGATGAAAGCATCACGAACCAACTTGTGTCCACCATCGCGCTCAGACCGTTAACCAGGCCATCCAGATGTTCGAAGACGGCAGAATATGTTTGAGAGTGGTGGGCCATGATTATCTGTGCTCGACGCAGAACATAGACTTGAGATGTCTGGTAATGGACGTCGAGAATGAGCTTCTTGTGACATAAAAGACAATGAGTAGGGGTTGCCGACATAGCGGCGGGACCGAAGCTCATTTTCATGCTATAAACAGATTATTGTAAATATGGATAGACAGAACGAATAGACAGAACGATTCTTTTAATATACAAAGTAGTCAGTGTTTATAAAACAATAATAGGCTTCAAGACAGTCATAGCTATCAGATAGTACTAGCTAGCTATATGTAATCGCTGTCAGAGGATTTGCTATCACTTTGCATTTCCCCTGCATCGTCATGATCCCCATCCCTCTCTAGCAATACAATCTGCTGGAGATTCAAAGACAAAGCCTTACTATAACTATCCTCCCTTTTCTTCTTTGGGCTCTGGGGTGTCTTTGGAAGCTTACCCTCTTCCTCGCCCTCTCTCCAATCATACCAGCTAACAGTATATGTTACTAGAACCCTGTCGCCCTCACAGAGCTCGCCTGGAATTACAGGGAGTGTGTCTATCTTTCCAAGTGCGAAGAGTCCTTTCCTAGCATCATGAACATCCACTAACAAAAGTATTAGCTGAATATTCCAAAGGGTTAATACAGGTACATACCAGGATGGCATCGGCGAACAGGGAAATCGTTGGTATCCTCTGATCCCTCTATGAAAGGAGATATATAGTTAGCATCTGTATAACTAAGCCGAAAAATAATATTACACACTTTTCCGAGTACTGAAATTAATTCCTGATTTGTACGAAGGTGTTAAGCCCCGTGCTTAAGTGTCACAACACGTGACTTCGTTCAACCTCTACGAAGCTTCGGAGAAGGTCACATACCTTCGGAGAGCTTCGTT